GAGTACACGAGGAGGACTCAGATCTTCTTGACTCTTGTCAATCTGACTTCAGACCTTGTTACTGTAATGGGACTGCACTACTAGCATTGGTCACTGATCTCTTATCAATGTAAAAAAATCTGAGGTGATATCCTGTCTCTATTGAAGTAAGTGTCAAACTCCCATTGATTTCACTGGGGCCAGGAATTCATCGCAGGTGTCCATGATGATGTTACTGGATCTATCAGATACCTTCAAAATCATGCAGACCTGAGTGCAAGTAGATGGGTCTGCCTTGCAGTTATTTCATTCTTTTCTGAGGCTTGGTCTTGGTCTACACAAGGAACTTATGTCGGTATAACTATGTCGCTCAGGGGTGTGGAAAATCTGCACCCCAAGTGACACAGTTATACCAACCTAATCCCCAGTGTAGACAGTGCTATGTCGACGGGTGGGCTTCTCCCATTGACATAGCTACTGCCTCTCGAGGAGGTGGACTAACTACAGCAATGGGAGATGCTCTCATGTTGGCGTAGCTAGCATCTTCTCTAAGTGCTACAGCAGTGCAGCTGCACCGGTGCAGCACTGTAAGTGTAGACAAGCCCTGCCAGAAAGATCCCAGAAAGTATTTTGTTAAGAATCCCAGGGACTGTTAAATGATTATATAGCAACAGTGACCAGGATGTTTTTCCCTCCATCTGAAGATTGCATTCCTTTATCTTGCTTGCAAAGCTCACTTTACGTCACCCATGTGTTTGTCACTTCAAGATTAGGCTATTGCAATCCGCTCCACATAGGGCTACACCCTGTATCAACTTGGAAACTGAAGCGCATGAAGAGGGCAGCCATGCCTGTGTTAAGAGATGCAGCTTGTCTTGATGAGCACATGATACCAGTGCTCCAAAATCTCCTCTGGCTGCCTGCTGATTTTCAGGTGGCGTTAAAAGTAGTGGCGTTCACCTATAAAACCCTAAATATCTTGGGACCTGACTATCAGAGATACTATATGCATTTGGGGGGCAGGATTCAGGTGAGGGTGTAGATTTATATTTGTAGACATGAATTGGTGTTTTGCAGGAGCTGAGTTGAGGATATTCAGTTTGTGGACTGGCTTCTTTCATACAGAGTAAGGTAGTTGGTTTGTTGTTGGATTACATCTTTGATTATTTGTAAAGAGCAACTATAGCATGGATTTATCCCACACAAAAAACTTAAATTGAAGTTAAGGTCACTAGCACATCACAGTGTTCTAAGAAAATATTGTTTCACAAGAATGCTAGCGCTAAATAAAATAAAAGTTAGAAATGCAGGAAATGCAGAGTTCAGCGTGTACTTCTCAAACAAGACACTGAAATTAACCTACCTATGGGGGCAGAGGTATGCCCTGAGAAACTCAAACACTCTTATTACTTTATCCACAACAGTTTAATTTTTATCAGTGACCACAAAAAGACTTTAATCCTAAAATAGCTGCAACAGCTTTATAACTTTCTTTACAGTCATACACAATACACATACATGCATTTTTCAAATTCCTTATTAGAGAAATAGCATGGTAAAGGTAACCATTCCCCATTTGTCATTAAGGGGCCAATCCTGTCAAGTGCTGAGAGCACCCAGCTCTTCATAGGAGGTGCTAAGCACCTCACAGGACTGAGCCCTATTCCACATGGCAGCCAGTTCTCCAAGTGCCACTACTATGCCTCCCTATATTAATATCAGATGCCTACATCATGTGAAATAGGAGCACTTACAAGAACAAAGCAAAGATTAGTGTGGTGACAAAGTAACACTCTTAGTATTGGTGACATAAATGCATTGGACAATCTGCGCTGACCATTTCATCCAGTTGGAACCAGGGAATATAGTGTATATCTATAGCTATATAGCATACCAGTGAGTATAGTGCATCTCTATATCTATCTATTTATACACAGGGACATACACACACAAATACAGTGTAATGCTTGAAAAAATTCACTTGCTCTCTTAACAGTGATAAGCAGAAAGCTTTCCCTGGCAGGTGGCACCTAAACCATCAATTTGTGCAAACATAAACTTTCATTTTAAAAAAAAAAGCTTTCATCTTTATGGATGCAAAGATCACATTTTGAATGTGAACTGAATGCAAAGCATTGCAGTTTTACCTTCCTGAATCTGCAGGGAGACAGCTTTAGTATCTTTGCTGCTCTTCAAATAGCAGCTTTGCCAAGCAGCAGCACACTGCTATTTGAAGAGCAGCAAAGACACTAAAAAGCTGTCTCCCTGCAGAATCAGGAAGACACAACTGCATTGGCAGAATGAAATTAAAACTAGTCGGTTTATAGAACATACTCGGAATCATGTAGAGCAGTGAAACTGTCAAGAATCACATCAATTTCATACTTCTGCTGCTCGGCAAAGCTCTGAGCAAGAACAGAGACAGGCAATGGAGAATCAAAAAGATGAGGAACTAAACAGAAATGTTGCTAGGGAGGAGTAGAGAGCAGATACCACTTCCACAGAGGCTGAATGGATTGACTAATGAAGATCTGCTAGTCTAGCAACAGCTGGGGGCTCTCAAAGGGGAGAAGAGAGAGAATATTGGTGGGGTTAAGGGGTGTGTGGAGTTTCAAGTTTATCAGTCACCAAGCAGAGCCTGATATGAGAGATTGGGGCCTCCACAGGGTCCAGGGACAGAAAACTGATAGACATTCCAACACCCTCCCCTTTCCCAGAAGCTGGGAGGGTGGAGAAGAAGGAGAGGAAGGGTATCTTATCGGGACCTTGCAGGTGGGGCCCAGAATCCTTGTTTTTCAGGTTTCATGCTCCATCAAGGAGGAGTTGTCATACATTATTCAATTTGGGGGAGGGGAGAGGGACAGGATAGAGTATAATGTATAACAATAGAGAACAAATCTAATCATTTCAGCATTGCCACATTTCAACATCACCCAACCATTCTGAAAAGTATATCCCCACAAGTACAGTGAAAACAGAGAGAGGTAGAGAAAGAAGGCAGAGACTTGCATTGCTATTCCTCCTGACTCCCAATCTATAAAAGACATAGTCACCATATAGCTACACGTTCACATTTCTCATTTGGTTACCTGTGTAGCAATGAAACAATTTCAGGTTTTTTAAGTTTTATTTATTTTATTAGGGATGCCTCTCTTCATGAACTCACTGAAAACAAAATCTTGAATTCTCCTTTCACTCACACTTGTGTCAACCAGGAGCAACTCCACTGAAGTCATTTGCCATTATAGATGAGAGGAAAATCATCCCCCAACACTAAGAACAAATAAATCAATCCTGAGAGTTCAGAGAAGATTGAGGGAAATCTGAAAACGTTTGAAAAAAAATCACTTGCCAACTCACCAGTGGTGAGCAGAAATAGGTCACATTCTGCTCTTACTTACAAAGGTGTAAATCCTGAGTAACTCTGACTTCAATGGAAGTATTTGGGATTTACATCTGTGTAACAAAGCAGAACTTAGCTGAAGTCAGTAAAAAATTCCTTAATACAATAGCTACAATTAACTCAACCATTTAAAAATACAGCTGATGTTGACTGTCCATATGCAAATTAAACAAGCATCATTCTAACAGGAACGTGCTTGAATAGTTTTGTAGGAACAATTATATTACTTAGCCATTAACCAATACACCGTTCTCATGGATCAGAGTATACACTAAAACACAGCTCTTCAATTTTCAATGTTCTGTAATTTATCTAGAGATGCAGCTCAACCTGCTGCATATTCCTTTGAGTTATACTCCATCCAGCTAAACTCTTACAAACACGATAGCTGCCAAAGTCATTTTAAAGTTTTAAATCCTCTAAGAGCGCAAATACATTTTCACTGTCTCTGTATCTACTTTTGATGACCAGCAGCCACTCACAATCTGGCAGTGCATCATCTGGATAACTCTTCTTATATGAAAGAAACAGTTACTGTCACTGAATCAGTGTATAAGGTAGTTTTTTCTTTTTATAATATAGGGCCATATTCTGCTATGCCTCCTCCACAAGTAGCCCCATTGATTTTAGTGGAGATATTCAGAGAGTAAGGCATCACTTAACTCCAGTAAAGATGGCAGATTCTGGCTCTTAGAATTTTGGTGCTTTGATACCATGCTCATTACAAATATGATTGATTGACTGGTTGATAGACAGATGTAGAAGCAAAAAGCAGGCTGTGAGGAACTAACATTTCTTTTACAAACACTCTCTTAGCAGTGCTAAATAGGAGAAAATAAAAATTAATACTGCAAAAATAAAAGGAGGGGGAATCAAATTCCAATAGAATAGTTATTAAATTGTTTACCATTTAGCTGATAAATATATACTTCCAAGTGCAAACACATTGCCATTAGCATGAAGAACTATTCTAATTAAAGCCGGTTGGTCTATTTCCACTAACAGCTATTACAGAGCTTGATAATAGGACAATATTTCTTATCCGAGGATAAAACCCTTATCTCTCAAGAGCAAAAATGTTCTAATGGGGAACTATTTGGCTGTGCTAAGAAAAAAAATAACCTGCCTAAGTCCCACTTCAAAACCTAATCTTTGACCCAAAGGTTGTGCTGCAGTGTTGACACTGCCTGGCACCAGGATGCCCCCTCTGGGGAAATGGGCAGGATCCACCTCACTCACCTGGAGTGAAAGAAACTCTCCCATGTTGAGTTGCCTCCTGCAGGGGCTCCCTAGCGTGACACCTGCTTGCTCAAGTCGGTGCTAATAACCACAAGAGAGAACGACCCAAGGACCATTACTGGGGCAGTACCAGCTCCAGCGGGGAAAAGCTGTTCAACCTGACAACTCAGCTCAGGCACCAAATTTCCCCTGCTCTCAACAGCAGCCTCGTCCCCTACAGCTCCCAGCGCCCGCGCTCAACCTCCTGCGGGCAGCCCCCTCACTGTAGAGGACGAAAAGTTGGAGCAAACTCTGGGGCAACCCCTGCTGCTGCCGAGCCAAGGTTGGCTTCTCTCACCTGGGCTCGCCCCCCTGCCCCCCAGGAGCTGTCCCCCCTCACCGTTGTGCTCGTCGTATCCCCAGTGCAGCATGGCCACCCACGTCCCTGCTTGCTGGCGAGGGGAGCAGAACGTCTGGCTGGCCGGAGCAAGACACAGGGCGCTCTGAAGGAGGCAGGCGGCGCCCAGAGGCTGATAAAGTCTGGTTGCGCGTCGGGAGCGGCCGGGCGCCGCTTGTAATTCCCACCTTCCGCCAGCTGGGGGACCTGGCCCCCTCCAGCGCGGAGTCACCTAGAGCAGGTAACATTGCTCGAGTAGCAACAGCCAGGACTGTGATTCCAACCGCTGATGGGATCATTTGTGTTCCTATTCATCAGGGATGGGCCTGAACACAAACCTTGGACCTGAAAAAGGCCAAGACTGTGAAGAGTTCAGATCTGGACCCAAACTTTGCTGTTCCCATCTGAGTTGTTTATTAATAGTGACATTTTTAACAGAGGATGTTTGCTTGCTGTCCAATGTTGCAGGGGGGTAAGTGGCACCTGATGGTGCTCAGCATCCTGCAGGATTAGGCTCCTCACCCATGCATCTAGATAAGCCCCAGTCCTGCAACTGGATCCAGGCAGGTGCAGGGGTCTGCCTGCACAGCTCCAATTGCAGGAGTGGGCTTTAAATAGTACAGGATGTGCAGCAAACTGACTTCATGTCAGTTAAAGGATTCAAAGCCTCTCCCCTCAAAAGCAAGAGAAAGAATCAAGAAAACACCTAAGTTATACCATACAGGAAAAGGCCTTGTAAATGTCTATGCATTTTATGACCCTCATCATCAGAGTAGCTGAGTATGTCCCAAGTATTTAACAATAAAAATAATCTCTCTCTTTCTTTCTTCCTTTCCAGGCCTATGGGGGGAAAAAACTGATTGTTTTATAGGGGAGGAGGTAAGGTGTTTGTTTGCTTTTAACACATTATCTATTTTGTGTGTGTGTGTGTGTGTGTGTGTGTGTGTGTGTGTGTGAAGCTGTGTCTGTGTGTGTGTGTGAAGCTGTGTCTGTCTTGGTATTGCCAAACAAAGCATTAAAAATCATGAGTTAGGCTTAAATACAATGAAATTGGCTTAAAAGGCCTGAACTGTGGTTTTGTTTGTTTTTACATAGGGGTTATTTTTCTTTGTTTTCTGAGGGTACACTTGGCTGTGCACACACATGCGAGCACATAACTGTGGTAATGATATGCACAAATTACCAATTCCGTGGCTAAATGTCATTTGCACAAACAGTCCCTGCAACAGTACATGTACAGTACTGAAAATCTGGCCCTAAAAGTAAGCATTTTTTATATTTTCTTTCCGGTCTTCATTGTAATAATTTTTAAAACAAAATACAATTATTGTCTAGACAAAGTTTTATGGGAACATTTCACATATAGTACAAAAAATTAGAAAATAAAATGAAGCCTAAACTACTCCTGAAGATTAAATAACTTCTTTCCAATGTACAACAAACTGCACATACTTTGCTAATGACTCTGAGTTCTACATTTGCTCTAGTTAGTTAATGAATTATGCATACCATTTATTTATATGCTACTCCATTTCTTTTTTCTTGCTGGTTTTGCTTGTTTACCTGGTTTACTGCAAGGAGATCCCTTGAAGATGATCTTGTAAGGATAAGTACTAAAGATGAATATTTTTAACTAGATTCAAGAAGGAATGTGGTTCCAAACAAGCAACCCAAAGGAAACCAAGAAAGTATTTTTATAAATTAGTTTTAACCTCGTAGCTAAGCACATTACATTCCATAGCTAGTCATGATTCAAGTAGAAAGCTGAATTATCCAATATTTAGGCTGAAAAATAAGAGCCACAGATTATATGCAATTTAAAAGAACCACTTGATTCTCTGATGTGTAGCATAACCAGAAAACCCTCAGGCTGATGTCCTGAGTAAAACAAAGTGCTGCCAAATGCAAATGGAATAGAGAAAATGTTTTGTGTTTTTTTAAATCTTTCAGTTATAGTAACTCAAGGGGTTATTTGTAACAATGATAGATACAAAATTTTCAGATGGAAGTGAGATTTCCAAGTTGATAGTATCCTTTTAAGTTACTCATTTGGGCCCGTATCCTGCAAAAATTTTCATGTGTGCTTGTAAACTTTACACACTGTTAGACCATTTGACTGCTCACAGTGTACAAAGTTAAGCATGCGGGTCTTTGCAGGATTGTCTTGTGTTTGAAAAACAACCTTCTACTGCTTTCTACGGGAGGAAAAGCTGTAGTTCTTTTCTAATGAACAAAGAGTTGGTGACACTGAAAAAGACTTGCTTTTTGTACCTACGGCAAGCAGAACAAAACACTGTTTGATATTACATTTTTTTTAATTAAATGCATCTATAATGCTATCATTTTGTTTACCCTACAAAATATTTGTTCATCATTTTCTTATTTGATATTTCTAAATGATTTGTGAAGTCTCTGTTGTTTTTCCACAGTGATGGAGAACAAATAGAATCATAGACTTTAAGGTCAGAAGGGACCATTATGATCATCTAGTCTGACCTCCTGCACAATGCAGGGCACAGAATCTCACCCACCCACTCCTGTATCAAACCTGTGTCTGAGCCATTGAAGTCCTCAAATTGTGGTTTAAAGACTTCAAGGTGCAGAGAATCTTCCAGCAAGTGACCCATGCCCCACGCAGCACAGGAAGGCGAAAACCCCCCAGGACTTCTGCCAATTTGCCCTGGAGGAAAATTCCTTTCCGACCCCAATATGGCGATCAGCTAAACCCTGAGCATGTGGGCAAGACTCACTAGCCAGACACCCAGGAAAGAATTCTCTGTAGTAACTCAAATCCCACCCCATCTAACATTCCATCACAAGCCATTGGGCATATTTACCGCTAGTAGTCAAAGACGAATTAATTGCCAAAATTAGGCTATCCCATTATACCATCTTCTCCATAAACTTATCAAGCTAGGACTTGAAACCAGATATATCTTTTGCCTCCACTACTCCCCTTGGAAGGCTGTTCCAGAACTTCACTCCTCTGATGGTTAGAAACCTTCATCTAATTTCAAGTCTAAACTTCCTAATGTCCAGTTTATATCCATTTGTTCTTGTGTCCACATTGGTACTGAGCTTAAATAATTCCTCTTCCTCCCTGGTATTTATTCCTCTGATATATTTATAGAGAGCAATCATATCTCCCCTCAGCCTTCTTTTGGTTAGGCTAAACAAGCCGAGCTCTTTGAGTCTCCTTTCATATGACAGGTTTTCAATTCCTTGGATCATCCTAGTAGCCCTTCTCTGAACCTGTTCCAGTTTGAATTCATCCTTCTTAAACATGGGAGACCAGAACTGCACACAGTATTCCAGATGAGGTCTCACCAGCGCCTTGTATAACAAACAGTACTAACACCTCCTTATCTCTACTGGAAATACCTCGCCTGATGCATCCCAAGACCGAATTAGCTTTTTTCACGGCCATATCACATTGGCAGCTCATAGTCATCCTGTGATCAACCAATACTCCGAGGTCCTTCTCCTCTTCTGTTACTTCCAACTGATGCCTCCCCAGCTTATAACAATAGTTCTTGTTATTAATCCCTAAATGCATGACCTTGCACTTTTCACTATTAAATTTCATCCTATTACTATTACTCCAGTTTACAAGGTCATCCAGATCTTCCTGTATGATATCCCAGTCCTTCTCTGTATTGGCAATACCTCCCAGCTTTGTGTCATCTGCAAACTTTATTAGCACATTTCCACTTTTTTTGCCAAGGTCAGTAATAAAAAGATTTAATAATATTGGTCCCAAAACCGATCCCTGAGGAACTCCACTAATAACCTCCCTCCAGCCTGACAATTCACCTTTCAGTACAACCCGTTGTAGTCTCCCCTTTAACCAGTTCTTTATCCACCTTTCAATCCACCTCTCCAAGCTACATGTACTATGAACCCCAGCTATTCTCACATAAAATTCCCATTAATAGAAGTCAGTGGGAGTTTTGAGTGATTGAGGATTGCAGAATCAAGCCCAGGACCATTAGCAGAGGCATTAGCCTGAGCTCTGGCCCCATTATCAGCACAGTAGGACTACTATTATGATATGAAGACTGAGAGAGGCTTCACCAGCAATGGTAGTGGACATCCACTATGGTTTGTAATAGCACGGATGTGCCTGTGCTAAGCTGTTTTTTCCAGATATCATCTGTTTTACAGCACCTAAAAGTGTGCTAGGAACTTTACAATAACATAAAAATTAGAAGATCTCAGCCCTGAAGAACTTACATTACAATAGAAATTCTATTGCTGTATTGCACCTCTCTGCCAAATGCTGTCTGTGAAAGAGATGGCACTCTGTGGTAGGTGTCATTGTAGAACATTCTGTTTCCTTTACCACAAACCTTTTCAAGGGCCTGCTGGAGTAACTGCTCAGTTGCTAAGCACAGCTACAGGTGGAGAATAAGGAGGAAAGAGCAGAGATATGCCCACTCTCTACCCAGGTCCTGCCATTTTGTAGCTTGTCCAACCCTCACCACTCCCTTTGTTAAGTGCGTATACATGTGGTTCTGCAGGCTACTACTGAATATAGAATTGCTTTTTACACCACACAACACAGCTGATTTGCTATTAGAAGCATTGCACATCATCTTTGCCTAGAGATTTTACAGCCACCCTAGCTGCATAAATGGGCTTAGGTTAGGCCCAGAAATATGGCCCAATCCTGAAGCTGATGTAAACACACAACTTCTGCTGTGATCAATGGGAGCTGAGTGTGGAGCACCCTGTAAAATTGGCCTTATTTCACACTGCTGAAGTAAGTTTAATGTTTTAAACAAGCTGAAAATTCCTGTCCATGCACTTAGTCGTATACATAGCTAGAACAGGTGATAAATACAGGATGGGAAATGGGAACAGAGAATAAAATCAGATCAGGCATGACATGTGGGTATTGCTGATAATGTTTTTAAGTCTTCAAGAGAAAGACATTCATTTTTGAAAAACATACACCAAAAATGAGGGCCTGAGGCTGCAAAACACCAAGCCCTGATTGCCTGCCCCCTGAGACTTGAGAGAGCTCAGCATCCCACAATCTCAGCCTCTTTTTTAGCCCTTTGTGAGGTTTCATTTCAAAACAGACATCTACCTTTGTAAAACACCCAAAAGCCTTCCCCCCCCCCTTTGGTTAATAACATTTTTAAATATAAAATCTTTCATCTAGGAAGTAGCAAAAGGCATGAGAATTGCACCGGTTAGGCAAGGAGGTGTCCTGCATTTCCATTCAAATATTTCTAAAAGCAAGTATGGTTAGAATGGGAAGGCAAGCAGATGGCACCATAGAAGTAACATTTATCACCTGTCAGAGGGGTAGCCGTGTTAGTCTGAATCTGTAAAAAGCAACAGAGGGTCCTGTGGCACCTTTAAGACTAACAGAGGTATTGGAGCATAAGCTTTCGTGAGTGAATACCCACTTCATCAGACGCCATTCACCCACGAAAGCTTATGCTCCAATACCTCTGTTAGTCTTAAAGGTGCCACAGGACCCTCTGTTGAATTTATCACCTGGATGCCGGATCGAGTCAATAGGCAAGCACTGTCTGTTACCCTGTGCTTGCCAAGTGCCGGGCACAGCCGGGTGGCTGATTGATCTCAGGGGCTGCCCCTGGCTCTTGGTGTGTAATTCAAGCAAGGCGTTAACAGCAGCATGGCAATAGCACACCCAAGTTCAAACACACGCGGGGGAACGCCGCTCCCTAGCGCTTGCTCCCGGTATGATTTCCTTCTGCCGCGTTGTCTAGCCTCCATTAGCCCCCACTAGCTTGTCCTGCCTCCCGCCCCACGCCCGCCTTTTGGCCGGTGGGCACCATGCTGCTGTTGACAGGGCAGCCTCATTGTTTTCTTTCCAACCTCCCAGCCCCCGCGGGAGCGGGACATTGGAGCCCGCCCGGGGGAAAGAGCAGGGCGCGTCCCTGGCTGGTAAGGCCGCCCCGGGCACATGGAAATGCGCAGCACGCAGTGGCGGAGTCCCCGCGTGATCCCCAGGCTCCCCCCGGGCAGCTGGTCCCCATCATCCAGCCGCTGCATGGGGACGCCAGGGCTGCTCTGGGGGCGGGGCCTCAGGATCGGGGTTTCCCTCCTCCGGGGAGGGGGAAATTCCCAGGAGCGCTCCTATGATGACGCAGGGCGCTCGCGCAGCCGCAGCCTGTGAGATCGGACGGCAGCCGCTGCGGTGAGTGCGCTGGGGGGGCGCGGGCACGTGGCGGGGGGAGCCCCTCGTGCGCCTGCCGAGGCTCGGCCCGGGGCGGGGGAGCGCGGGTCCGTGGGCCGGGGCGGGCAACGGGGCCGGTTTTACTGTGGAAGCGGGGAGCTGCCATGAGGCTGGAGGCCAGTGTTTGCCCGCGCCCGGCAGCGCACTCTGGCTGCGAGGGGGGATTCTGGCTCGACCTCGCCCGTTACTCATGTCTCGGGGGGTGGACACGCAAACGAAGCCTCCGCCTCCGCCCTTTCCCGAAAGAGTTACCGGTGGGGCAGGACCTGCACGAGCTGGGCCCAGAGACCTGGCAGCCGGGCTCGCAGCGCCGCTCAGCTGTCGCCAGGCTACCCCGCCGCTTGGCCTGGGACCCGCAGCCTCCTTTAGTCTGAGCTGCCCTTCCGCTCCGGCAAGCCTCCTTATGGCCGAAGTGATTCAATTTTAAACAAACCCCAGCCCTGCTCTTTCTTAGTGGGGTAGCAGGCCCAGAAACCGATGTTATTGGTGAAAAAGCTGGCACGGCCTCCAGCCGACACCGCCACATACTTACAAGGCGAACCTCGTTGTCTTACCACCTTCTAGGCCATGGGCAAGAACAAAGCCAAAGGGTCAAAGCCGAAGAGTGTCTTCCATGTGGCCAACACCAAATCCCTGAAGGCCAAGAATAAAGCTAAACCGGTCACAACAAATCTGAAGAAGGTTAGTAGGGCCACAGTAATAACCCTGTGCAAACATTTTTTTCTTCATATGTTGTTTTTGAGATCTCCACCAAGCATCTTTAGTAAAAACAAAAAAAGACCCATGGTACACAGGACCTGTACCATGGGTAGGGCCCTATCAAATTCACAGTGACAACAAATGCTTCGTGGACTGTGAAATCCGGTCTTGTGTGCGCTTTTACCCTATACTATACAGATTTCATGGGTGAGACCAGTGTTTTTCAAATTGGGGGTCCTGATCCAAAAGGGAGTTGTAGGGGAATCTCAAGGTTATTTTAAGGATGTCACACTCTTGCCATCCTTACTTCTGTGGTGCCTTCAGAGCTGGGTGGCCAGAGTGTGGCAGCTGCTGACTGAGGGACTAGCTCTGAAGACAGCAGCACAGAACTAAGGGTGGCAATACCATATCATGCCATCCTTACTTCTACGCTGCTGCTGGTGGTGACTTCGCCTTCACAGCTGGGCTCCTGGCCTGCAGCTGCTGCTCTCCAGCTGCCCAGCTCTGAAGGCAGTGTCGCTGCCAGCAGCTGCTGCTCTCCAGCTGCCCAGCTCTGAAGGCAGTGTCGCTGCCAGCAGCAGTGTCGCTGCCAGCAGCAGTGCAGAAGTAAGCGTAACAGTACTGCTAACCCCCTTACAATAATCTTGCGACATCCTCCCCACACACACAACTCCTTTTTGGGTCAGGACCCCTACAATTACACCACCATGAAATTGCAGATTTAAATAGCTGAAATCATGAAATTTACAATTTTTAAAATCATATGACCCGTGAAATTGACTAAAATGGACAGTGAACTTGTAGGGCCATCACCCACAGAACAGGGGCAAAAAGCCTTCAGTTTCCCACTATATAAAACATTAATGAGCATGGAGAGAGATGACTAAAAGCAAACATCAGAGGGGTAGCCGTGTTAGTCTGGCTCTGTAAAAGGCAACAGAGAGTCCTGTGGCACCTTTAAGACTAACAGATGTATTGGAGCATAAGCTTTCGTGGGTGAATACCCACTTCGTCAGACGCATTGATTCACCAATTGAGCTAGAACAGAAGACAGGATTATATGTGGATATCCTGAACTAATACTGGTTGATAGGAACTCCATTGACACAGCTACTTGAAACAAATGAGAAGAAAACATCACAAGAAGTAAGGTGCCACCAGACTCCTTGTTGTTTTTGTAGATACAGACTAACACGGCTACCCCCTGATACTTGATCACAAGAAGTAGACGTTTACACTAAACAATCAACTTGAAGTCTAGGGTGGGTTGTTGGGTTTTTAAGAACTTTGGGGACTACCCTTTGCCTCTAAGTCTTACTGCCCATTTTTGTGGTTTTGCCATTTTGTTTTCTTAAAAAAAAAACCAAAAAAACCTTGCCTTTATTGCTGCAAGACCTACAAAACCAAAAAGGGGAAGAGTTACTGGGTAAACAGTAAAACTGATTACATACCAAGCACTGTCAGAAACAGAAAACCTGACAGAAATAATCTAGGTTACTGGAATCTTTGTTACTAGAGCTGGTTGGAAATTTATTTAAAAAACTAGAAAACTGCATCTGTGTAAATGACAATTTTTGCAGAATTTTTTTTTTAGAACAACCCATTTTTTTTAAACCAGCTCTTGCTGAAGTTTCTAGGTGGGAGTATGATTTCTAAATTTAATGGTATTACCTTAATGAGTGCTGAAAGCTTGAAGGTTGTCCACAAAACTGTTCTATATACGCCCAATACAATGATTTCATACTGCTTTATCTTGGAAAGTGGTTTTGCAGCATGTTATTGATTACTGGGGAACATGACACTGAACAAGACTTAAGATGTGATCCCTGGCTTAATGAGCTTTCATTCTAAAATTAGGCAAAACTGTACTGTTCAGGTGATGCACTAGACTTGTTAGCCACCACGACTTGGCTTTGTTTTCCCAAAGCTTGTGTCACTCCTGAACTGCATAATCTGCCACAGAATTAAACTGTTAAGAATCTAATAAAGCAACAGCGAAGACATTTTTCCAGTATATATTTTCAAACTGTTGGAAAATGTATAGCTAAGCCAATGGTAATCACATTTTTTCTGAGGAAGGTGTTTAAGGAAAGACCTCTTAACTTTCCTGCTGCAAGTTATAGACAAAAGAGAACAAATCACTTAGTAGAAAGTTGGAATGTTACCAAAGCTATGGAATTAACAGTCACTCAAAGGGAAAATGTTGTGTGTCACTGGCACCTGAGGATGTTATTCAGATACAAAGATAACTTTCAGTGACAAACAATAGCAGCAAGCTTAAATTCAGGAATATCTAGAGGTGGAGCCAAATCTCCATTTTATATAGTATTTCGTATATAACAGTAAAACAGATTTGAGAATGCTGTTGTTACCAAAAAGTGGCCCATTAGATCAAGATGAGATGAGCAGTTACAAATTACAGGTATCTACCTACCTACCTGCTGATAGAAATAAAGAACCTGCCTGGACTGGGTGCTTCTTCATATTGGCTAAAATAAACTGAAGGTGTGACAGTTTGTCTGAACTAGTTTTCTGTTACGTGTTCCATTTCCAGAAGGAAATCTTTCTTCCCCTTTTATCTCCAATATAAACAAGTTAGCTTTGACCTATTTGTTAGATTTCTTTGCTAGTGATCCATTTATATGAAAGTTCTATTAAAAATTCACTATCTTTAATATTTACACATTCAAACAGTAGTACAATTAAAATATATTTTAAAGAACGTGCCCCACTCCAAGCAATTTTAAAGATAGAACCGTTGTAAATACACCTCTACCCCGATATAACATGAATTCGGATATAACGCGGTAAAGCAGCGCTGGGGGGGGGAGCGGGTGTTGCACAGTCCGGCGGATCAAAGCAAGTTCAATATAACGGAGTGTCACCTATAATGCAGTAAGATTTTTTTGGCTCCCGAGGACAGCGTTATATCGGAGTAGAGGTGTATGTATAATAAATAGGCTATGAATAAGCCTTAGCATCATATTAAGTTCGCTTACTGCCTTTGACTAACTTGTGCAATTTTTTCTCCTCTAAAGATAAACATTGTGAATGATGAAAAAGTTAGAACGGTAAATAAAGCATTTACTGAAGTACAGAAAGAAGTCAAACAACTATCAAAAGGCATTTCATCAAAATCTCAAAAGAGGCGTTGGGTAATAATTGAGTCCTATTTAATGCATCTTTGGTTGGGAGGGTAGTTGCAACCTCAGGTTAGAAAGATTCCAAAATTAAAGTTTAATTTTAATAAGTTTTTAGGTCTTGACTGAAAAAAAACACAGTTGTGACCCCATCATGAAGAGATGTCAAGTCTGCAAGCAACCTTAGCAGTTCTTCTGAGGGCACAAACTCCCTTCTTAGTCAGAAGAGAGGAAATAGTTGAGCATCACTAGATGCCAGAATGGATTTTTCATTTAATATCTGGATGTTTTAGTTGATCCTTTTACTGATGAGCTTTAAAAATTAATAAAATAATTTTTCAACTGGACACCTTGATTCATCGAGTTAACCCTTAACACAAATAGGCATAGAAAATAAAGGTGGTTGCTTTTGTAAGACATCATGGATCTCCTAGCTTGCCATTTGATGACAGTGTCAATATGAAAAAATTAATTTTTTTGTAAAAACATCAGCCCCACTTCTGCTCCAATTGCAGCTTCCTCATCAAAATATAACATTTTGAAACAATTTCTCTCTTTCTGGAGCACTAGTGGGGTCCTATTAATAATTCATGCAATCTCCCTGGAACAAGTTAGTGTGTTAGTCTCTGTGCAGTAATAATCTCCTTCACAATTTTAGATTTTGTTGACTAGAGCATTCAAGTTTATCTCCATTTTGGCTGTGTGTGTTACGGGCACAGATTTTTTTGGCTTTCCTCTGAAGCTTTAAGTATTGACCACTGGTCCATCTAGTCTAGCAAATCATATATTCCCATAAAGTGAATAAGTTATAAAAAACTTAGGATGTCTTGCAGTCCAATACACCAAGCTAATCAATCTTTCAGACAGCAAGTATTTGTTAGCTTTATATCTTCCAGCAATGAAATTTTTTATACAACCTCAGCTTCCTACTTTATGTAATTTTTTATTTTTTTTTTTATTTTCAGGTTTCCAAGCACCTGGAAAGTGAACCAGCTGATGTGGATGCAACTGCAAGCTTATTATCTCAGTTGTAATGCATAATGAAATATCTATGAATTTCAAAAGCAAAATTTACTGGCAAAAATCAGTGGATGGCACATAATGAATACTCTTTGTACAGTTTTATTAAAAAAATCTTGTTAATATACAAGCATTGGCACACTTTAATACAAACTACAAACAGACCTTTCCTATAATCTAGGAAAGTGGAATGTCAGTCAAAATGTGAGAAACTTAAAGTGCTAAAACAGAAGGCACTTCACAAAATTGGTTCACTGAAACAATTTAACATAACCCATTTAATGTCCTTCACTTCAAAATTTGGCAGTGAACGCTTTTTAAAAATTGTAGTGAAAGGTTAAAAACATACAGAAAGCTTCTTGGCAGTAAAGCTGCAGAAAGAAAATTCTGCTAAGTGACAAGCCTTGGGGTTTTTTTTAAGTAACCAGAAGGCTGCAAGAAAAAGGAGGGGGGGTGGGGAGAACTTGGGATTTCAAAGCTGAGTTACATTAATGTAACTTGTGAAAAAATACCAGAGAACATTTTGATAAAAGCCCTTTCTTCTGGTTTTGAATTTAAGGTGTTTTGTGAAGTAGGTAAGGAAGCAAAAGGAAATGCACTCCCAGAGTCAGTGAACTAAGAGGTTATACATTCATTATTTAAAATACTTAGGTTATGAAGAAGTCTAGAATGTTATAAAGTTAGAGGTAGATATGACAGTCTGGTTCCCACCGAATCTAATAATTTAGTATCTGCACATCAAAAAGATCACAGACTCCTTCATTATCATCCAGGTTAAAGTTGTAGTCATCTCCGGGAGTAGGAGAGAGTCGTAAGAGAGGAAAAACTGTAAAACAAGAACAGTTTAGTTAGTCATAGAATCACAGAAATCTATTATAATTAAAATTCTGCCTTGCAACATCCAGTAAATTTCAAAAACTTTGGTGTCCCGTGTCAGTAATCCAAAATGTTACAACTTGCTTTGCTTTGGCAGTATTCGTGTGCATTGGGGATCCTGGTGCAACTCCACCAAAATAAGGTTAAAAATAATTTAAACTGTGTAGACACAATTTATTTACTATGCTTTAAATGAATTTCCTTTAGAGGAGAAAAAAATTCCTTTGCAATCTTACCTGCAGCAAAGCCAGTGAAGTGTAATAGAGATTAGTCTCTTCTGCTGCAGCAAAGCAACACTTAAGCAGCCTTTGTGGTTGGTACCTAGCAGTGGATCTATTGTATTATATAGCCTTCATTATTGTAGTACCTGTGTGCCTCACAGTCTTAAAATGTATTTTTCCTGTGAGGTAGTGTCATGCTATTATCCCCCTTTACAGACTGGAAACTAAGGCATGAAGAGACTGAGGCCATGTCTACACTATGCATGAAAGTCGATCTAAGCTACACAATTTGAGTTACGTTAATAGCGTAACTCAAGTTGACGTAGCTTAGATCTACTTACCGCAGGGTCCACACTACGTAGTGTCGACTGGAGACGTTCTCCCATCGACTCCCCTTACTCTTCTCAATCCGGTGGAGTACAGGAGTCAACGGGAGAGCGATCAGCAGTCAATTATCGACTGCCCATCCATCAATCGCCGCAGCATCAATCCTCCAGTAAGTGTAGACAAGCCCTAGATGACTTGCCCAAAATCTCACAGGAAGCCTGCAGCAGAGCAGGAAATTAAACCCAGGTCTCTCCATGTAGTACCCTGACCACTGAGTTATTCTCTCTCATCAACTGGATACTCAATTAGGCCCTGAGCCTGCAAAAAATTGAACACTGGCATCATTTAATGCAAATGAGTAGTATCAATGAATCTAAAGGTATTATGCATGTATAACATTACTCACACATGTAAGCGTTCGCAGGATTTGGGCCTTAATATCGTGACAGTCAATATGGAAGGGAAAACAGGTAAGTGATGGAAACTAGAATAAAGGTGGAAAGGGAGAGTTGCAACAGGAAAGAGGTGGGAGTGAAATAGGTCATGTTTAAAATGGTGCTGACAGCTCATAGGCGCCGACTCCATGGGTGCTCCGGGGCTGGAGCACCCGTGGAAAAAAAATTAGTGGGTGCTCAGCACCCACTGACAGCCCTGCCGATCAGCTCACCCCCACCAGCACTTTCTGCCCGCCTTCGGCTCTGCCGATCAGCTCCTGCCCGCTGAGGATCAGCTGTTCAGCAGCATGTAGGAGGCAGAATGAGGGCAGGGCACATTCAGGGAAGGAGATGGGAAGAGGTGGGGACTTGGGGGAAGGGGTGGAGTGAGGGTGGGGCCTGGGGCAGAGCAGGGGTTGAGCACCTCAGGGGAAATGAGGAAGCTGGGGCCTGTGTGGCAGCTGTTTTAATATCAGATATTTGTAATGAATTTTGGAATCAGATTTGAACAAAAACCTAGGGAAGTGATGAATTCAGATATGAATGACATTTGCCTGCAATAACAGAGGACTAGACTCAATGAGTCAGGAGATCCCTTCCAGTCCTACGTTCCTATGAATGGATGACATTCTTAAAATATAACTCTGCTTATTTAAAAAAAAAAAAGGAATGCTAAATGCTTACCATCTGAAGACATCAATTCGTCAATGATATCACTACTAATAGTTCCTGTTAAACACAAAAGCACTTATTTGTGAAAGTCAGCCCAGGTTCTGTGCATTAAACAGCTATTGAAATGGAGAATGTTAGCTGTTAGGCTACTACATTTATAACGTAATGCTTTCAAGAGCAGTAGAGATAGTCAACCAGACCAGTATCCTACTGGGCTTAAAATAATAAAACCCCTTAACTTTTCCTTTTGGACAGTTTCTGGTGCTATTCTTAGGTTACACAAACACTTATAACTACAAAGGGAATGTAAACAATGTACCAGAATGGAGCATCTTTATGAGGGATGCACTTCACCCAAAACCAGACAGCAACCACAGCCAAAATGGTGAAAAGAAAAGAGCTCCAGGAGGGAGAAGGGAAAGGCTGCAGACAAGACAAACTGCTGGCCTCTTCTCCTCTGGGAAATCTGCTGCTAGCTTTGTCAGGAAGGGTTAAACTAAAGAGAGTCTGCCTACCTGTGGGCTCATCCATCTTTGCTATATCAAATGAGTTTGGCTTGAGAATACAATTAACATCCAAGGGAAGCAAGGCCTGATAGTCATTTGAGCTAGCAGTAGTTTGTGTTGCATCTGTTGCAAGGCTCGTATACAGCAAGGAGTCCGGAAGGCTAGAGTAAGGAGTTGCTGGAGTTGTACTGTTCTCTTGCACACTGTTGTCTACAATGGCAGAAAAATACATATTACAAAGTCTATTATGGTAAACTATATGCAGACACACCTGTATCTGGCTAAGTCTTACTGGTAGAACATGGCCAGTATTTGAGATGTTATCTCCTTTCAAAAACCAGGCACAGGTCTCAAGGCCCTTCAGAGATTTGGTTCACAATTTCTGTAGTATGTTGCTAAACGGCATTTGATTATCTATTAGTGATAAAAACAAGTTATGTAATCTCCCTCACTGAGCCTGCTTTTCACATAAAACTGCCTTTTGCAACAACAGCAGGGACTGTCCTAGTACAAGCTTGTCAAAGGTAAATATTCAAGCTTTACATTCCAGTAGAGGTTTGAAGTCTTTCATACACCACATACAATCACCTTGAGGAACAGCCCAGAACCCTGTTGAGGGCTGGTTTCTGGATCACTTCTGAGGTGTTTCTGGTATAGGATGATAAATTGCAAGTGGAACAATCCATTTCAACAGAAGTCTGAACATAGAACAGGAAGAGGATGGTGACCTCCCCCAGCAACCTCCAGCCAGCTGATAGTAACTCCATTGGTGTCAGGTCTCAGGCCGGCAGCTGCTACATTATGCTAACAGTTGATTCCCTTTCTCTACCCCATCTCTAAAATCTCTTTTGGGGGTGGGGGGAAACAAACCATGGACCCACCTGATGGTGTATCTGTAACTGGGGTATGTGGTAAATGCTGCTCCTGGTTAATGTCATGCTGCTCTGATGGATTCTCAGTAGATGCAGTAGGTTTTGGGGGAGTCACTGGAATTGCAGGCTGAGATGGGGGCTGTGCAAGGTCATCAGGAGGAGGAACTGGGAACACCACAGGCGTGGGGGAACTTGAGTCTTTATTAATAAGCAGCACGTGGATAGGTCCTGAACTACTCTTTAGACTGATCTGGTATTTCTTTTGTCCATTTTGTCCCTTTAAAGGTGGCACATTGAAATAAAACAGTTACAATTCCTTGTGACTGACAATTAAGCCAAATAACTGCGTGCAGTGATTGCCATAGAAAGTAATGGAAATGCATAGTTGCCTAAGTAGAAAACTTTTATTTAAGAATAAAATTCTCAAGATGCCATTGCAAGGTGACATACAATTTTCTAGTCATAAGACCACATTAAGACAGTTCTATACAAAGTTAACTAACATCACATCAGACAGAAAAAGAGACTTAAAACCAATACAACACACCCCATAACCAATAAGATTCCAACCCTTCTACATTCTCACATAATTAACAACTGACACATGGCACTCAAGTACAGAATTCTGTGCAATGCTCATGTAATTGAATTCAAGCTTAGCTGCGAGTCACAGCAGGGTTCCCACTAAAACCTGACCCCGGGACATATAGTAGCCTCTTTAAAATAATTTTCTCATCTGCAAAATTGACTTAATTGGAACTAACTGTCCCACTATAGCCAAATCCTTTACTCCCTGATTCAGTAAACAAAGGACAATTTCCCTGCAGAATAGTCAACATGAAGCCTTCATGTTAAAGAGCTAGTTCTTGTGATTCAATCTGGCATGTGCAGTGCTGCTACCATTGGCCAGTTCATGGGATTAAGTCATTATCTTTCTATTTTGGGAACAGGTGAGATATTTCAGTCATGAAGACAACCAATACAAGTTATCTGTGTCCAGCAGTACAAAGGACAGTCTCATTAGATTAGCATTGCAGTTCACCTTGTGGCATTTTTTATAACCTCATTGTTTAATTACTGTGCTTTTACTCATTCTTTGCTCAAGTTAAAATATGAAACGCATCAAATTGAATCACTATCCTCCTACAACTGCACAAAAAATGTTTGCCACTCTTTCCCCACCTGTGTAGGCAGCATGAAAAACTGAAAAGCACTGTATCTCTGAAATTGAAGATGGCAGAAGGTAAAACCATGAAGCAAAGTAGATTGTCTTGCCCATCCATCTTTTTTGGCCAAAGCAAGATTGCTCTATTATTCTCTGTCATTAAGGACTAGACCAGATAGAGCATCAATCTGTTTTTCTACCGCTTCCTCTGTTGTTCTGTGGGGATCTGATCTGGGTTTCCAAATTCCTTGGCCCAGCAGGGGTTGGGAGGAAAGGAGCTTGCCACTGAAAGACCAGCATTGACAGACTCTGAAGGAAGCACCACTGCTTTTTGCCTGAAGAGAAACGGCAGCTATTGGGCTTTTGCAAGCGGAAGAGAGAAGAAGGAAGGGGAAAACCCAAAGTATCTTGTTTTAACTGAAAGGTATAATCACTTTTAGTCTGTCTAGATGCGCAAAAATGCTGTTTACCCAATATCAGTCCACATCCAATTAGGTGAATCCTAATTTTTTCTCCCACACAGACGAAGAGACAAACCTTATTAGCTGCAACACAGGCATCCTTACCCCTCCCTCACCACACATACGTAAGCAAACAGTTTGTACATACCATTTCAGGTATAGGTACTTCTAATTGTGTACCACAAGGTGCTTGAATTGCTAGAAGTGTGTCTCCTAGTGAAGTAGTAATTTAAGAAAACGTTAACCATATGTAATTTTACACATTCTTGGGTTGTGTACACTCAAATGGAATATAGTTCTCTAATGCCACTTCAGCATTAGTTTGATACAAATCCTGCACATTTTGATGTACTTCAGGAACAAATTCTAACATGAACGAGAGCAAAGTTTGAAGAAAACCTGTCCATCTATGTATTCATAACCAGAATATCCAAGGACTTAGCTTTATATGTCCCCAGAACTCAAGTCTCTGTAGCATGTACAATCTGGGTGTAGTTGCCTTGCACAGTGCACTTGGACACCACCTTTCTTTCTGTAGCTTACTAACCGTTTGAAATACCTGGGGAAAGTCACTTCACTTTTCCGTGCCTCAGTTTCTCACCTATAAAATTAGGATAATGCTTTTTTCTCTCACAGTGTATTGCGAGATAGCACTTCTCTCACTGTAAACCTCATTCTAACCCCATATTTTGTAATTAGTGAACTCTTGTAATAACCTTTTTTATGTTTTGGGTTAAACTCTATAGTACATATAAGTACATGGCTACAGAGAACATTATCTTGAAGTTCTTCTTCAGGCAAAACTAGAGAAAAGGCATTTTATGTAACCTAGAATTGTTTTCTAAACTTTGGACCACATTGTCCCCTCTTGTGGAAAAACCAGGAGGGGAACCTGGGAGGGAAATCTCTGCTAGAGGTCTTTGCAGAGAGTCTCCTACATCCTCCTGTGGGGGAGAGGTCCCAGTTTTTTACCACTCCCAAACTGGGTGGAATATGAGGAATCCAGGGAAAGACAGGAGCCATCTGTGCAGATGTTTTGTGTTTATCCCTCAGCTCTTGGCTTCAGCTATCCCCAGTAGCATGGCTCCACTGGAACTGTACTGTCAGGGATTCCATATATTTGTGGCTGCAGCTGTCCCCACAAAATATATGGAAGCCTGGGCCTGAGTTGTCTTTTCTGGGGAACCTCTGGTGGGTCAGACCAACATGTTCTGACCTGCTCCCCCTCCACCCCTCTTGCCCCCTACCACAGAACTTGAACAGGTCCTGCAGAGCCCGCATTAGGAAAAACAATGCCCTGGGGGCAACCAAGCCCCCCTTCCATACATCCATGACTGCAGATGGAAAAGACATCTAATAGCTCATGTCGCTTCTGTCGCAGTATGTAGTTTCAAAGTATCAAGTAGCTATGTATTGTAAGTTCCATTTCTTATAAACATAATTACACTTGCAAACATTTTCTAAATTCAAAGTAATTATGGAAAAAAACCACTATGTTATAGTGAGGTTTATGTAACAATATAATAAATACAAATAATGATCCTCATGTTGTAAGAACTTTGCTCAATAGCAGGAATATGGAATCCTTGGCTCTAGATCTTCATTAAATAGCCATTTTGTATTGTAGGATGCGTTTTTGGGGAGGGGCTGGGGTGAAGGGGAGAGGTATTTGAAAAAATCCCATTTCTAGAGGTTTCAAACAAACAGCTTTTTTTCAAGTCTGATGGTTAATGCACGAGAACATAAGAATGGTAATACTGAGTCAGACCACTATCCTGTCTTCCACCAGTGGCTGGTGCCAAATGCTTGAGGGAATGACCAGGACAATGCAATTACTGAGTGCTTCATCCTGTCGTCCGGTCCCAGCTTCTGGCAGTCTGAGGCTTAGGGACACTCAGAGCATGGGGTTGCGTCTCTGATCATCTTGGCTAATAACCATTGAGGGACTTATCCTCCATAAATTTACCCAATTGTTTTTTTAACCCATTTATAATTTTCACCTTCACAACATCCCCTAGCAATGAGTTCCAGAGGTTGTTTGTCCATGGTGTAAAGAAGTACTTCCTTATGTTTCTTTCAAACATGCTGTCTATTAATTTCATTGGGAGACTTCTGATTATTGTGTTACTTCTGATTAGTGTATTGTGTGAAGGAGTAAATAACACTTCCTTCTTCACTTTTTCCACACCAGTCATGATTTTATAGCCCTCTATCACATCCCCCCTTAGTTGTCACTTTTCTAAACTGAACAGTCCCAGACTTTTTAATCTCTCCTCCTATGGAAGCTGTTCCATACCCTTAATCGTTTTTGTTGCCCTTCTCTGTACCTTTTCCAATTCTAATATATCTTTTTTAGAGATAGAGCAACCAGAACTGCACACAATATTCACAGTGTGGGCATACCATGGATTTATATAGCAGCATTATGATATTTTCTATCCCTTTCCTAATATTCAGTCAGCTTTTTTTGACTGCCACTGCACATTGAGTGGAGGATTTCAGAGAACTGCCCACAGTGACTCCAAGATCTTTTTCTTGAGTGGTAACAGCTAATTTATACCCTATCATTTTGTATGTATAGTTGGGATTATGTTTTCCAATGTGCATTACTTTGAATTTCATTTGCCATTTTGTTGCCCAGTCATCTACTTTTAGTGAGATCCCTTTGTAACGTTTTGCAGTCAGCTTTGGACATAACTATCTTGAATTTTTTTTTTTTAAATCTGCAAACTGCCACCTCACTGTTTACCCCTTTTTCCAGATCATTTATGAATATGTTGAACAGCGCCAGTTCCAGGACAGATCCTGGAGACCTGGCTGTTTATCTTTCTTCACTGTGAAAACTGACTATTTATTCCTACCCTACCTGTTAACCAGTTACTGATCCACAAAAGGACCTTCCCTCTTATCCCATGACTTCTTGCTTTGCCTTTGGTGAAGGACACTGTCAAAAACTTTCTGAAAGTCCAAGTACGCTATATTCACTGGATCACCCTTGTCCATGTGCTTGTTGATCCCCTCAACAAATTCTAATAGATTGATGAGGCATGATTTCCCTTTACAAAAAAACATGTTGACTCTTGCCCAACATATCATGTTCATCCTATGTGTCTGATAATTCTGTTCTTTACTATAGTTTCAACCAATTTGCCTAGTACTAAAGTTAGGTTTACTGGCCTGTAATTGCCAGGATCACCTCTGGAGCCTTTTTTAAAAATTGGTGTTACATTAGATATCCACCAGTCATCCGGTATAGAAGTTGATTTCAGCGACAGGTTACATACCACAGTTAGTAGTTCTGCAATTTCATTTCTGAGTTCCTTCAGAACTCTTGGGTGAATACCATCTGGTCCTGGTGACTTATTACTGCTTAATGTATCACTTTGTTCCAAAACCTCCTCTATTGACACCTCAATCTGGGACAGTTATTCAGATCTGTCACCTAAAAAGAATGGCTCAAATATCAGAATCTCCCTCACATCCTTTGCAGTGAAGACAAATGCAAAGAATTCATTTAGCTTCTCCACTATGACCTTGTCTTCCCTGGTTAAAACACCTGCTCCAAACATCTTACAAAAATACAGTCTAGCAGCAGCAACTTACCATTGAAGCAATTACAGATGTCTTCATGAGTGACATATGAAAATGTGATTTATGTCAAGGAAATTTTCAAGAAGTAAGAAGCTGAGATTTTTGCCTAAGCAATGTGAAGTTGATATTTAGTGCAGTTTACAAAAGAAGTTTGTGTTCCTACAGTGTGTTGGTTAGGGGAAGGTCTACACTTTACATTTTTACTGTTATAGCTAATGTTGGTCAAGAGTGGGATCTGTGACTGACATAAGAGTGGCAAAAGGATGCAGCTATACAAATGCAGAATTTTGTCAATATGTCCACATTATAAATGCTTTGTCAATATAGCATACCAGTATAACTAGACCAGCAAAGCCTTTCAAGCAAAGCCTTGGCCTTAAGACTACCATTAGAAAGTTTCCAAAATGTTATTTAAATGTATTTCACACATACTACCACCATCTCCTTTTTACTGATAAGTCTGGTTAATATCATATCACTATGATACAGTATGTCCAAAGCCATCATGGATCAGCATGAATTCCGGATGAATCCAGGATGAATTCTGCCAGTGACGACATACCCATCAAAGAACTAGATGCAGCCTACGGAATAGGTGAGGCAAGCGGCTTTGAAAAGAAACAACATCCTGTGTTTAATTCATAGTCTATGGGAATTGCTCTATGAAAAGTCCTTAAGTTCAAGGTTTTACCTGTCAACCATAAAAATACACAGGTCAGCACTGGAGCTTGGAAAAAGAATTGTTTGCTTTACTGGAAAAAAACAAAACAAAAAAACATTGGCTGTGGTAAGTATAGTTAAGAAATAAGTCAACAGAACAGAAAGCTATGAGATGTTTTACTGTTTCTGTGTAAAAACTACAGCAAAATCAAGACACTGTCATTATCAAGAGAGAGAAAACTGGTTCCCAGATCCATGTTATGTAAGTTTTTCTTCTAAATAATTTAGAACCAAAATGATTTAGTTTTAATGATTTTGTCTGATGGAATTTGGTGCAGTCAAATGAATTTTGCTAACTCTGCCACCATTAACATATAAATTATTTTGTAATAATTGCAAGCCACTAAAATGTAAATTTAAAAAACCACCACCAAATAGGAACCTGTTGATGTTCAGAAGTAGGACAGAGAGCTCTGAATATATCTTAATGCAAGGGCATGGCAGGGCTTCCAAAGGTGTAAAACAAGTTCTATTTTAAAAATTTGTGTGTACACCCATATCCTCATACACTTACAACAACTTTGAAAGCACCTGCTTTCCCTTTCACTTTCAAATTGGTCCTAGTCAAAACGCATCCTGAAAAACAACATTTTTGGTTTAATCCTGTAATCCCACCACATACAATTAATAAGTATTTCAAACTGAGTACTGCACATGGCGGTTTTTTAGGACTGGACTTCCCTGAGAAACCATTTGCAGCTAGAGAGACAGTGCCATATATCTGTATAATCTATTTTGAAGTTTCATGCAATACGTTCTTAGTCAATGTTTCAACTAATCACTGTAGTTTCCATTTCAAATCTACCCTTTTTCAAATGTAAAAGCTGATTTCTGAAAGTCATTTTATCTGTAGTGTTTAGAAGTAGAGGCCAGGCATTTAGGGTTTTGTTTTGCTTACTAGGTATTCAGCTTGCAGTATCACACAAGACAAAACTTAGCCCTACATTGCTTTAGATATTTAATTACATTCCAATTACTCAATTATTTTGTTAACAAGGTTTGGTACACTATTCACTATTAGACCTTCTCTGGTGGCTTGGGGTGCCCAATCCCACTCCATTCCCAGCACTCTCAGCAAACTGACTCCACTCAGAGCTTTGTGAAAGTGGACCAAACTGTGCCTTCACAATCAATAATTCATTTAAAAATGGATTGTTGCACATGCAGAGTAATCTCTTTATTCAATGGGAAATAATTTCACAGCTCATTCGGGCCTCAATTCAGCATAGCACTTAAATACATTTAATTGCTTTGCTGATTAGAGACCTTACCTGTTATGTTATCTGTATTGACTGTATTCACTTTAGAACAGCTGCAGTCTATCAGGTTAATGATCTGTGAATTTAAGCAGGCTCTGACGTGATAAAAATCACTGATTTGACTGGAGCAGTTTCTACTGAACAATCATAATATAGTGTTAAGTGCTTTAGAGCTACTTATAGATAAGAGTGCACTTTTCCCTCTCCAAAATCTCTAATGACCTATTTTGTTCAATATCCTCTAAGGGCTTGTCTATACTGGCACTTTACAGCGCTGCAACTTTCTCGCTCAGGGGTGTGAAAAAACACCCCCCTGAGCACACCAAGTTACAGCGCTGTAAAGCGCCAGTGTAAACAGTGCCCCAGCGCTGGGAGCCAGCGCTGTAAGCTAATCCCCTCATGGAGGTGGAGTACCAGCAGCGCTCCCGCGGCAGCGCTTTGGAGTTTCGAGTGCAGCCATGCCCATGGAAGTAGGTTATTTCAAAGCGCTGAGAGAGCTCTCTCCCAGTGCTCTGCCGTGACTACACAAGCCACGTTAAAGCGCTGCCACGGCAGCGCTTTACCATGGGCAGTGTAGACTAGCCCTAAGAATGCTAAACATGTGGTTACAAAGTAATGAGCAAATATAGTTTAAACAATAGACTTATTACCTGTTTACACACAGGATATTTTCAGTTCCAGTTTCAAAAAGCCTCAGGAGTTTATCAACTCACATATCTTTTCAAAAGATTTAGATAACCTATCCTATGAACAACCAAAGAAGAATATCTTGGAGTATCCTAAATCTAATTTAAACCACGAAAGCAGTTAATTTCAGTTAATGCTAAAAGTCTGAATTTTCTACATTAAAAAATTACCACTGTGTAAATTTCTGATGGATTATTTCCAGATTACCATTGATACAATCACAGAGGTTAAAACTTGAAAAGACCTATTAAACCAGTGGTTTTCCACCTTTTTTTCCATGTGCAGACCCCTAAAAAAATCTGAATGGAGGTGGGATCCCTTTGGAAATCCTAGACATAGTCTGCAGACCCCTAAGGGTCCATGGACCACAAGTTGAAAACCACTGTATTAGACCATCCAGTGCCTCTTTCTGCCAATACAAGATTGTTCCCTACAGTATATTTTCCAGCGCTTTGTCTAGCTTGGTTTTAAAATGCCACAAGCAAAGTTTCTTCTACTCCTTTAGATCTCACTGTGTATTCCATAGCCTAACGGATCTTGCTATTGTCTCACAGCACTTGCTTCACAAGGTGAGTTAATTTCACTACCAGTGCAAAAGAAAATTGAAATCACATTTTAACAGAAACAGCTTGAGACCAATTCTATTTCTTCTAGAGTTAGTAACCCCCCCTTGGTCACCTAGTTCAAATAGCTTCTCACTTCTAGAGCAGGTCATATTATGTGACCAACCTTTTAACATATGACTGGTGCTTCTTTAATTCTATTTCATGAATGGACACAATGTACGTCCCAAAGGATATTGGTTGTTTGTGGAATCATCCATAACATTTTTGATGCTTTGCTGCAGCCACAATTTTTGCTGATCCAGCTCTTTTTCTTTTAGTTCCAAATCTTCAATTTCTGCTTCAAGATACCTCAGTCTGTCTATGACTTCTTTTGTATTGCAGCCAGCACCTACACCTCTTTAAAAAGGGTACAATATTTTATGCAGTCACAATATGTGTAATGATAATGTAAAAAACTACAGAGAGAGAGAGAAAGAGAGAGAGAGAGAGAGAGTTTGAAGCATAGGTCTTGCTTTTTTTTTTTAAACCCACCATATTAATTATATTATGAAATACTAAGAGGTAGTAAAATTCCTGCTTTTATTTTTTAAGTAGAAAAATATTGAAAAATGTCTTAAATTTGGGGCCAACGTTGGGATTCCAGTCACTGTTTTCCATTTTCATGGCAGGTGGCGTTTTCTGTGTCAGGGCTGTGTACCCAACTCAATTCCCCCTAGTTAGCTCCTCACTGGGGCGATGGGAGAATGGAACATGTTTTCTCATAGACAGAATCTTAGGCTAGCACACTGCCTGCCTGGTCCTTGGCACTGCTCTACAACACACATCAGAGCCACATCCCCAATCCCTGCCCAAACTCGTCTTGAAGTTCAAAGATTTATTTCTTTTAAGTAGCAAGTTATAAAGTTATGTTATATAAATTTTAGTGCCCATGAAAATTGCCAGATTTTCACTTTTCAGGATTGTCACTTTAATCTAGACATGGTACAGTATGAAAAACAACAATGCTAAATTGCCCCTCAGATATGCTGAAAACTTCAGACTTCACGGCTTAGAGTACTTCAGTCTCCAGCACCATTCAATTTTTGGCCTCTCTGAAAATAAGGACGACAATTGCAGTGAGGACACCTGGTCATTAGGAACTGGATTGAGACCACTGACATATTCTACATAGGCTACCACTGATTACAAAATGAATTTTAATTATTGTTGAATATAGCCAAGGAAAAAGGAACAAGGCCAACTTTTTCCTCGCTTGAGAATGTGAAAATATGCAGAATTGACAGTTCTTACTTCCATTGGATGCTGTTTTTTGACTTTTTCTCAATTAAATCTATGCCTTCCAAAACATTGGTGATATCATAGATTCTTCTTTTTTGTCTCACAGCAAGAGTATCAGCAGCCTGTTAAAAGAACAGAGATAAGTGTCAGCAATCTGCACACCAAGGCAAAAAACTGGCCCATTAGGCTGCTCACCTGAAGCTCAGCAAGCTTCTTGGGTGCTGATTCCAGGTCCATGGTTTCTCAACCTGCAGGTCACGACTCAAAACTGGGTCGCCAGAACACGTCAAAGAGTTGCAGGGCTGGCTAGGCTTGGCTCCTTGCTCCCTGTGTTGTGACCCAGTGCACAGGGTTGCAGCGCCGCCTAGGTTTGGCCTAGCAACCCCTCCATCATGATGACGGGGGGCAAGCTGGGCCAAATTTGAGTGAGAGGCGCTACGACCCCATGTGCCAGGTCACAATGTTACTCACACAAATTCCCCCCCTCACACTCGCCCAGCAGGGTGGCCAGGCTAAACCGGAGCAGTACTGTGACGCTGGTGTATGTAACACCCAGAGTGGGGAGCCAAGCCCGGCCAGCTACAAAGTCAGGAGCCGAGAGGGAAACGGTGTCATGTTCTCAGTAAAGTACTGGCCTCCCAAAGTGTATCCTGCCCTGCAACTGAGCAGCACTCCTCTTCCACTCCTGTCCTCCCCACCAAGCTTGCACCCGCCCACTCAGCCAGATGACTTCCCCCCGTCATGCTACCTATACCCCAACTAATTTCTTCCTCCATTCCGCCCACTTTATCTCCAGGACCTCAAATTCCCCCCACCCCTCTACTGCCTATGGGGGGGGGCTATATTTTTGGGGCACTATAGGCTCATCGCCCCTCGCCCCTCCCCCAGACTGCTTTGCTCCCATATCCTTCCCCCCCAGTCCCCCGCATCCCTCTGCCCGCCCCCAATTCCTTTCCCAGGTTCCCCTCCACCTCTGACATGGGCCATATGGAGGAAGGGTGTGTTTTGGGGGGATTATCTTGGCTCACCCCCCCCCCCAGTTGCTGGTTGGGGGGGTTTCCAGCTATTCACATCTGGCTAGAGCCCCTGGAATCTTAGCTCTGAGCCCCCCCGTCTCCTGCCCCGCACCCCTGAACCCTGGAGCGGGGGCCTTTGGGTTGCAACGTATCATTAAGGTTTACAAATGGTCCTGAACTCCAAAAGATTGAGTTTTGGATTTTAACCCAAATTTTGGACCATTTAAGTACATGAAAAGTACTGAGTACGTTAAACAAATCTACCTAATGGACTGGATTTTCTTATGTTAATAATAAATTAGTCTGAGTGTAAATGCAAGGCTGTCTGTTAAAGTAAGGCAATGTAGTGGAAGATACACACATGTACATGCATGCATGCGTGTATGTACAGTTAATGTACAGCTAATGAAATGAACCAGCATTAAACTGCTTTTACTTTCAACACTCTTACCTTTCTATTTGTTGCTTTTTCTTTCCTTCCATCCCCCAATATTTACTGCTAATATTTACCCAAAAAAACTGACATTGATTTTTTTGTATCAGTTTTCACCCATTTTTTTAAGTTTTGTAACAAACACTAAAATTTCTCAGGAATTTATCAGACAAAATACAAACCACAAACAAAAGGCCTTGCACATTCTGCACCACTCTCCTTCAAGATCAGAGTCCAACCAAATTCCATATAAAAATGGCATGCAGAGCTCTACAAACCATGCTCAGAGAATCCGCCCATTACCTCAACATAGGGGCCAGTTCTTCCATAGCCAACTGGGTATATGCCAGGCAGGAAAGAGTACAAAGGTGCTGTGAATGTCCCAAATATTAAATAACCAATTCCTCTCCTTCCTCCCAACCCCATAAAAAAAGTCTGAAATTTTCTTTTTGGAAGGTGGAGAATGAGAATATGGAAGAAGGAGGGCAGTATCTCTCTGCAACAATAAACAAATAAACCCAAAGAGTAGAGGAGGCTAGAAGGGAGTCTACTTCCTCTGGTGACTCTGAAAAGCTAATCCAGTTCTATGCTGGATTAACTCATGTTCGCCTTAGAACCACACATCACGGAATAGTTAAAGCCTCAATAACCGGGGGTAGTCTAGCCAAAAAAATTTCGGTGTGTCTTGTGTGATATAAAACGGAGCAGCTACCTTTTGTTAATATATTTCTGGATCCCACCATTGGACTTTCTCTCCAAATCATTGAGGAAACACTTATAGAGCGACAAAGCAGATTGATTCTTCATGTGTTCCATGAGAAATGTAGAAATCATAAGACATAACAGAGTGTAGCAACTTTATAATTAGGAAAGCCTTTAATACAGACCCTTGTATTAAGAACATAATACACAATTAGAATTGGGAGTAGGACTGATTTTGCTTTTATATAGCATGTTCCATACTAAAGCTATTGAAACACATAAAAATAAATGAGATAGAAACATAGCATAGCATAGCATAGCAATTTAATGGACAAATGTGGAAGTCATTACACACTTAGCAATAGCTCACAGCTTTGGACAATTGAAATGTTTCACTAGAGAACAGAAATGTTGATTAAGTCTCCAGAATTATCCCCTACCTTTTGAAAAAGGCTTAGTAACCGTAACTTCTACCTGGAAATCCAGCAAAGATAGGTAGAAAGAATCTCATTTTAAAAGCCATCTATCATAATTAAACCCAACAACATCCAGCACTTGATTAACGCTCCACTATTTCTGCTCCAGAAGACATAACTGCCAACTAAGATTCAAACCAACACACGACTCTTCTCCTATGAGACTGAGGAATTAAGAATACATACGAAGTACAGGTGGATTAATATGTGAATCAAGGTAATAACCTATTACCCAGCAGATAAACAAGGCCTGAGACAGATTAGTTTATCCCTAAAAAGGAATGAAGTAGTGGACAAAAGCAAAGGGCACCCATTCTACTATTGTTTTACTTCAAGTGATACTGCAAGTATTACATGTCCCGCTTTTTAAGTCACCTCTAAAAATAGGGAAGGGTACTAAATTGGAACAGGTGTGTGGAAAGTTTTATTTTTAAATAAAGTACTCAGTCTTCAAACTATTTAGTAATGGTGCAGAAGACATGAAACTATTTAAATAAATAAAATACATGTGAGATTAAAAACAAGGATTTTGGAAAGCGGGAGAGATAGATAATGGTGCAAATGAGTCATTTTATTGAAGAAGAATGTGACAGTAACTCGTTGCATTTCTAATCATGAAACTCACTTGTACATTATGGTCAAAATCTACTAATGAATACACTCTGTACATCAGTCTGTGTAATCATACATTAAAAATGCCAAAAACCAGAATAAAAAATAAACCTATTTTACAGCAAAGGCCATACACTTCCATCTTTTCTAAAACATAACCAACTCACTGACCTGCCAAAGCAATTATGTCCTCCCAGCAGAAAACAAGTTGTAAGGAATTTCAATAGACCAAACCGTCCTGATTGGCGTTTTAATTAATAAGATAAAGATACAGTATAAAAGGAAAACGGGGAAGACAATTTTCACAGTCTTGCATTATAAGTAAAGGAATGCTACTTCCACTTCACATGCAATACCTATCAAACGAGATTATTAATGGTAAGAAGGAATTACTACAGCCCATATCAAAAAGATATTAAATTGGTAACAGCATGTTGTACTTTCCTGGTTTATTAAACAAATATGCAACCTTAATTTTGTCACCCTGTGCATATGGATTGTGTTACAATCCTTCCTTATATGATCATACACTATTTTTTCACAGGACCCCTGCCTCATTCAGTGCAAAGGATGGTCTGTGTTCACTTAATGAGCAGCTATTCAATATTCTGTTTTCTCCTTGTTGTTCAATGTGTGCCCTATGCCTTATTTACTGCACAATAGTCAAACCCTGCTCTAAAGCCAGAATTAATTTCCTCATAGGTTTTTCTATGGCATTCATCATACTCTGAAACCTATAATATCTGACTGCTTCATAGATTACAAGGCCAGAAGGGACCATTGTGACCATCTAGTCTGAACTCCTGTGTAACAGAGGCCAGAGAACTTCCCCACAACATTCCTAGAGCAGATCTTTTAGAAAAACATCCACTCTTGATTTAGAAGTTGTCAGCGATGGAGGATCCACCACAACTCTTTGGTAAATTGTCCTAATGGTTAATCACTCTCATTGTTAAAGATTTCAGACTTATTTACAGTCTGAATTTGTTGAGCTTCAGCTTCCAGCCATTGGATCCTGTTACACCTTTCTCTGCTAAACTGAAGAGCCCAAAATTAAATATGTTCCCCATGTAGGTACTTATAGACTGTAATCAAGTCACCCCTTAAGCTTCTTTCTCTGTTAAGCTAAACTGATTGAGCTCCTTGAGTCTATCACTATAAGACATTTTTTAATCCTTGAAGCATCTCACAGCTCTTCTCTGAACCCTCTCCAATGTATCAATATTATTAAATTAATGTTTACAACCCCTTGTAAAGTGGGGGTGTTGGTGCATGGGGGAAGGGGGTATTATCTCTATTTACAGATGAAGATCTGAGGCACAGAAGGGATGTCTACAGGAGGTGTGATTGCAGCACCTGCAGACATACCAAAGCACAGGCAGCTGCACCCACTGGATCTGCCCAGCCAGGACCCTGGCATCCTCTAGTGACCACTGCTGAGTCTCCACTGCTATAGTTACTCAAGCTAGCTTTGATGTAGCTAAATGAAAGTTAGCTCAGGTATGTACACATATCCTGCAATTATACCTCTCAATTGCAGTGTAGACATACCTAATGAGATTAAGGTCAAAAGTAGCCACTAATTTTGGGTGCCAAATTTAATACATCTAGGACTGATTTTTCAGAGTACAGTACTTAGCATTATATAGCACTTTCTAGGTTCAAAGCACAGTTCCCTTTGACTTCAGATGCAGTTGTGTGTGATCAGCACTTTTGCAAATCAGACCCCAGGGTCTCATGTCAGGCACCCAGAAAATGAGGAACACACAATTAGTGACCACCTGTGAAAAGTATGGTTTAGGTGACTCAGCTAACATCACATATGAACTCAGAGGCAGGGATAGAATCCATTCTCCAAGGCAGTGTTCAGCTGCCTTAACCAT